TTTGAGTAAATGTACTTTATTTACATTATACGGCCACTGAGGGCCGGATCTAGAAAATACTCATGAGGTAGAAAGAAATCTGTGTGTGTTTTTAAAGTCTAGCACGCCTTAAAAGCAGAAAGCCCTCGCCGACCCCCCCACCAAGCTTTGCCGACCCTTAGTTTTGGAACCATTAAATTAAGGTTATGTTCCATTCAGGTCAAACACAGTCAGGGGCACTAAATGGAACAGAGCCTTCATTATTATCACTGGTAACACCTTTGTTTATCCTACTAGTCCATGTCAAAATGGCTGCTGTAAAGAATGCCAAGAACACGCCACGAAACCGAGGTAACGCAGTGTTCGATAAACGCTGACCACCTCCTGGAAAAGGATTTCTTAAAAAGAGTGGGAGCCCTGAAACATTGTACTTTTAAATTCCACTAATTTGTCCAACAGCTTTAGTTATTTTTCAGATTACAGTTTTCATCCTCGTCCACTATAAACCAGATTGTGTTGATTCTGAATGTGTTAGTGTAATTTATGTTTCATAGAGGGGCAGGCTGGTAGCTGTGGGTGGAAAACAGCATTTTATTTGAATTCATTAGAAAAACTACAAACGGAGTGATTCATTTTACAATTCATGTTCAAAGTGAGTTCATCAGAAACTCTTGTATTGATCTGTAAGTGTTCAGGAGTGACACTTTGCCTATACGTACAATCTCCGCGTCTGGCCTTCACTCTGGATAATATGTGAAATAACTTCTATATGAGATCGATGATTATTTTTCTCTCGGCAGTCCTGAGCGCTGCGTTAAAGTTCAAACTGTCTGCGGCGCCGCTGTGAGCGACAGGTAATCAAAGCAAGCAGCGGCCATTAGTAAGCTGATAATGGAGGATAATAGCAGTAATCATGGTGGTTATTTTAAAGGGATCCTGCATTACTCCAGTGCTTGATGATAATGTTCCGGGTCAGACCCAGACTACTGGCTCTGATTACCGTCTGCGGCTGTAAAGTTTTAGAAAATATAAAATCATATAGTTTTCTTTATTGTGTTTTACCAGTGTGTGGCACATTTAGATTTTGACCCCCCCGAGTGGACAGATATCTCAACAACTACAGGGCAGTTTGTCGTTATAATTATGATTATGAGCAGATCTTTAGCAAGTGGAGGATAACTATTGATTTGGTTAACCTCTTGTCAATCAGGCCAAAAGTAACCAGTAATTTCATCCACGCTGAGATATCTCTGTTGGTTGTCATGAAATTTGCTGCAGTTTGCTTTAATTCATCCGCCTGGTTCTTCTGTGCAGTGACTCCGGGTAGTGATGGGTTTCATTTCATTGCTTTCTTATTTATTTCCAGTTCTACTTTGGATCCAGTTCCCTGTCGGTGGATTTATTAATCTTAAATGTAAAGGTACACAGCGATGATTCAACGACGAGTATAAGGACCATACTAAGAGGAAAAATAAACAAATAAATAAATACAATTTTGGAAATTTCGAGAATAAAGTCGTAATATTACAAGAATAAAGTAAAGAATTAAATCGTTTCAAAGTCCTGATACTGATAATAATTTGATGCTGA